AGGCCATGGGCCATTTAGCCACTTATTTGAACATGAATTTCTTCCAAAGGTTCTCAATGGATCACAATGGTAATATTCTTGAACTAACTACATTTTCTGTTATGTGGCATTTAAAGGTGTAGACATTAACATATTTTTGACATATTAAATTCCCTCAGTGTTTTGCCATGGAAATGTGAGAGATGGACAGTTGGTTAAAATGGCACCAGTTGAACACAAATTGCATTAGAATGGATTAACACGGTTTTGTCCACTAAATCACTAGTTAGAAGAAAGAGATGAGATTAGTATAAATGGAAAATCTGGAGAGGGTGGTTAAACCTGTAATCAAATGTCACTTGGCAATTAAAAAGTGATGTTAGTATAAATTTTAAATCCGGAGAAGATGTTTCCGCCCAACCGGATTTGCTTTCAGCTTGCAGCTTCTGATGTACAAGTTCTATAACTGTTACAATTGCATCCCCTATGCTTGTTTAATAATGTTTCCATAGGGTTAAAGCCTTTTGTTTCCACTTAACCTTTGATAAAGAATGGCCTTCATTCCTTTTTGGAATGTTTTGATTAAATCCCATCTTAACTACAATGGAAAAAACTGATTTCCATTCTGAGACTATCCTTGGAGTTAAAAATAATCATTTCAAACTCTCAAGTCAAATTTCAGTTCAAATAATTATCTACAAAATTTCAAAAACCCAATACATGAAATTTTTGAGTCCCACATAAGAACGTCAACGCGAACCAAAACTCGAGGCTCGGGCTCGACTCGAGTAAAATTAAAACGGGCTTTTTTTGGCCCGAGCCGAGTCGAGCAAAAACTCGGCAAAAAATTCGAGGCTCAGTTTTTTATTTTTTATTTTTTTTTTAATAAAGGCAGCTTGCTGCCTTTTTTTCTTTTTAACGAGCCAGCCCATCAAGCCACGGGCCAACTAGGACTTTTCTGGGCCGAGCCATGGGCGGCCCGAACTGGCGAGCCAAATTGCCATCCCTAGTCCTACATTAGCTAAAATTAGCAATAAACAACTACTACGTCATTCATATTACCTATGAACAACTAATTATAATTATTTCCTTCTCCCTTGATACCATTCAACTCTTAAAATTCACGCTACAACCAGAAGTTATAATTTTTGGGGTGGGAATATCTACCAATTGCAAAATCTACTGCATATTTTCCCTGGAAAGAGAATGTTGGATAGTTGTGCTTGATAATCTTTACTCTGCACTAGTGAATGAATGGGTGATCTAATACACTTAAAAATCACATGACCATTTTATTTTCCACCATCTTGTCAATAGTGTGCCTTAACCTTGTATCTTGGTCCCATTTTCAGTTGTACGCACACATACAACGTGGATTGAAAATGTATTGATGATTAGCATATATCTGCTAATTCTAAGTTCGATTTTTTTGTCAATAAGGATTTTTGCCTTCAACTTTATTTTCAGTCTTTTGAGATCAATGCGATGTTGCATACTTACTCTCTTATGATATATAATTTTCATTGTCAGGATCAATATTTAACTGTGATCCACCAATATGCCCTAGGATAACTCGTACTATCTTATCTCAGAGTTGCTTAATTGTAGGTCTCATGAGCAAATGTCTGTGGACATGGTGGATCATATTGTTGAGGAGCATCATATTGAAATAGAGACTGAGATGGTGAAAAGAGTTAAGGTGGGCTAATAGCTACAAGTGTTTTACTCTCTCTTTTCTTCATTCAAGTTTCTATCATCTGTTATTTAAAACTTTTACTTTCAAGAAAGTCTAGACTTTATGTTTTCTTGATACTGCAGCTTTGGTGCCTTGACAGTTGAAAATGATTTCAGAGAATTCTTCTTATGTCATTTTTTGTATCATTAATTATTGAGTTATTATTTTTGCTTAAAGATTGCATTCATTTATTAGGTACTTGTTAGGTGTGCCTGGTGGGGTGAAGCGTTATTCAAAATGGGTTAACTTTAATCTCAATCATCTGTATACCACATGATAATATTGATGGTTAAGGACTTAAGGTAGTTTGCACTCTTTTACTGGTTAGAGCAAATCTATGTTGCCATCAGAAATTTTTACTTCAAGATGCACCATTTTGGTTAGATGCCATGTCAAGAAGTATGCCAGTGCCACCAAGACTTAAGTCAGTTCTGGGATTATTATCATGAATGTATTGACTTTAAAATGTACAGTTCTGTTGCCTGTAAGACTTAATTTCCAAGTCTGAAACAAAATGGATGTTATAAAATAGGAGTAGATTCTGTTGCCAAGATTTTGACAGCTTATTGGGTGATGAAACGTAAGTTATTGTTCTACAAATGATAAATACTCTTACTTTATGATTTTAATAAAATACACAACCATGTGTGGTTTTAATTAAAAAAATAACCTATAGTGTTGGTTGGCAATCTGATAGAATAGATGAGTCAATGTTGTGATACTAAGTCTTGGTACTCCTCTCTCTCTCTGCCATTTATCTTAAGATAAAAGTATTTACTTCTACAATTAGTGTTAGACTCTCCCTCTCAACTAGACATTGTACTCCAAACGTGTGAGTTTTTATCACTTTTTCTGTTTTCATTGACCTGTAACTCATTGCCAGGAAATGATACTTGCAAGTTCCAAGTTTGCCATGGACAAAGTAAGTCTTGTTCTCATATTTACTTAGTTATGATGTGTGTTATGTCATTAATATGTATAAATTGCATACTTAAAATACAATTTTATCTCTTTTATTCTTTTAACTTTTATGGTCACATCAAAGCTTTATACTATTTGACACGTTCATATTTTCTCTTATTTCAAGAGTGCAAGGGAAAAGTTTTTTCTGTATGATATTGTGGCGAATGGTCGAAATGGAATTGATGTCGACAAGTTAGTAACTGCGATGCTGGGATCCAGTTTTCTTATTTGAATGTCATGTGTATTTTCCCTTCTTCTATCCCCTCTTTTTTGTTTCCCTTCTGTTGCTTACAAGTGCATAAACTGGTTGTCAGGTTTGATTACATTGTTCGCGATTCCCGAGCATGTGGTCTTGGTTGCAATTTCCAGTTTCAGAGGTGTTTGTTCGATCTTCTTCAAAATTCTAGCACATGCACACGTTCGAATATTTATAAACAAGCTGCTTGAAGATAGTTACAAAATATTAATAGATTTACTATGGGATTTTTTTATGACTGTCAGGTTGATGGAAACAATGAGAGTCATGGGAGACGAGATATGCTACCGGAACAAAGATTGTTAGTAATAATAAATGATAAAATTGAAAGTAGATTTGTATTTTATTATCTTTCACGTGTATCTGCATGCATGATTGCAGATTTGAACATCCAGAAATTATTTTCCTGTCGAGCAGATCTATTCAGGACAGTTTATACTCATGCGAAAGTGAAGGTGTGGACTACTTTCCTGTTTTAAACATAGACCAGGTTATAATACGAGTTCCCTCAGGTTTTCTTTGATTTATGAAGGCAGTCACTTTAAGTTTTTTAATGTTTCTCAGGCAATAGACCTAATGGTTGTAGATGCCTTAGTGGGTGCATATGATTATCTCGAAATATCATCATACATACACGATCCTTCGAAATATTGGAAGGTTTGGGTGCTCTTGTAAATTTTTAATATCCTCTTTTGTACCTCAGTACTGATATAAACTTTGGTGGTGTTTTTCGGTGTAGTTAGATGACACTATAATCAAAACAATTCAGACATCTCCAGCCCAAGAACTAAAGGAATCTCGAGATCTGATACAACGCATTTTCCGAAGAGATTTATATAAGGTTTGCTTTAAGTTGTATGTACAGTTTAAGTTCCACTCTCAAAACTTTTTAACTCTGTCCATTTAATAGTTCTTGTATATGATAAATGAGTTATATGCTACTGTTTTCGCAGTTTTGTGACGAGTGTATTGTTCCCAAGGACAAACTGGAAAATTTTAAGCATGTTACCGCACAAGATATTATTTGTTCACAGGTACTTTACAAATACTGATGATACATTTTATATATCTACAAAAGTTTCTTTGCTAGTTGCATAGTTTTCATATGGAAAAATAACTAACTTTTTATTCATATAGAAAAGCGGAGGAGTGACCCTTAGAGAAGAGGATGTCGTTGTGAGCAATGTCAAGATAGACTTGACTCGCGGGAGGAATAATCCACTTGAAAGGTGCATGTTGATGGAAGCTCTTTTAACTGAATTAAACTTCTTCCCGAATATCTCACAACATGTATGATTAGTAATGTTTTCATGCGACTATATTAATTATTGGTTATTTTTCGTTTTTTGGATGTTTTCCCTCTTCCAGCATCATGTTCTTCGAGGTATACTTTCTACTTTCCCAATTTTAAGTGCCACGAGTTTCGAAACTTTTCAGATTTCCCTCATTTTCTGTAAATATCAACAGCTATACCGTATTTTCAGGATTATCAGAGCGAAGAGAAATTCCCCATACCTGATAGTCGAGTCAGCCATTTGCTTCCAACATATTACCAAGACATGATTGTGCGGGTGTACTCCAAAAAGCCTGAACTGGTATCTGGACTCTCTCTTCAAAACGTTAGCTACCAAACATTTCCGTATTTTTCTGCTCTCCCAATTAAATACATGCTGTATAATGTAGGTTAAAGTGATTTCTGAGGCTTCTAAGAATTTTCAACTGAGGACTTATGGGATGAAAGCGCAAGTACATTGATACACCAGAGAAGAAAAAACGGCAAATTTGATGCGTACAGTTTGGCTCGTTTTCTCTCCTCTTTTCCATCATATCCACTATATGTCTTACGAATGATATTACACTAAACAAGCAGAACAGTCGAACCTCATCTTGAATCATTTGTACAAAGCTAAATATGTGTAATTCATGATGAGACTATCTATTAATATCTTGAAATATGTGTTTATGGAGAAAGATACAATTGTAAACATAGATTTTCATTATCCAGGGTATTTCTGAAAGTTGAACATGGGAACCCACAAATCCAATTACATGTGAACGCTGTAAAAATGACTTCTTGTGGACAATAATCCTGCAATCCAATTTTCCCATGAAATTCAAAGAATTCGTTTTTACAATAGAAGTTGCACAGATATGCGACTGATCATTAACAAGTACACCTGTTGTTTGCTGTAATGAATGAAATAGATTGCAACATGAAATCCACATGCTAGAAGACTTGAAAACATTATTGACTGAAAAATAGTGGAAATGCAAGTTGTGTTGAATCAACACGATAGAATTACTGGACCACAATAAATTTGATTATGAAAGTCTTCTCCTAACCAGCAATCTTGTAGCTCGGGTTGGCAAGATTATCTATGCCAGACACTACCTGCATCGACTCTATAACATCTCCAACCTTTAGGTCTGCCAAAAAATCCTCATTTTCTGTCACATAACCAAATACTGCATATCGACCATCCAATATGTTGGCATTGCTAGGAGTTAGTTCGCTTTCTTTTAATAGCCAAAATACCTGGCTCGAAGCCGAATTATTCTCAAATTCCTGTCATCATTAAAATTAATTGATTCAGAGAAGATAGTACCTGTCAAATTAAGTGAATTATATGTGTAAAAACAGTTCTTTATGTTCAGACTTCTCACCTCTCTGGCCATCGCCATAGTTCCAAATGCATTAAATGGAAGCTTTGTTTGCGCCTTGTATAGACCAAGCTCCTGTCGAAGAACACATAACTTAGCATCAAACCGCCCAAGGATTCTTAAAAGGGGACATTTGTCTCGAAACTTACTTCCAGAGTTTCTCCATAAAAGGGCGCCTTTTCTCCATTCACCATAATCTCCAGAGGAATAGTACGAGTTTTCTCTGTGCTGGGGTCAATAAAGCCCTCAGCAGGACCTTCAGGATCTCCTGTTTGAACTACAAAGCCATCCGCTGCAGAAGAAACAACAGGAGTATCTATAAGCTTAAGGAAATTAGAACAGGCTAACTTCATTTATTATGAGCATGTGAAAAAATTGAGTGACTCCTCAAGGATAATATTGAAAATCACATTTTACATTCTCTAAGCAGCCTTACATCTTTGAATCTCCATGCCGTCATAGAAATGTCTTTCCACTAAATCGACAAAATTTCCAGCAGTTACAGGGGCATTGTAACCATCCAAAACAATGCGGAATACACATTCATTCAGGTTAGGATTGTCTTTCAACTTGACCTTCATATCCACCGTTGCTCTTCCCTTTAGCAATGGCATATTTCTATATTCTTCAGGTACTTCATATGGAAATCCATCCACCATATCCTCTTCAACACTGCAGAAATCCAATGCCCCAGGAAGATCTCAGCTGCAGTCAATGACCAGGGTTTAAATGAGACAAGCATACTTTAGGAAGTCCAACTTTTTCAAGTTCTTCCCATTTTCTAGGCCTCAAGGAGAATTTGGTAGAAATCAAGCAAGATTATTGTCGTTAGTGATTTCAACCAGGCTACAGCCTACATGTACATACATTAAGTTTGACATTCTTTCAAGTGGCAGCATTCTACACCGCTAATTTTAAACACATCCATCCCATCATTGGCTAGATTTGTTCTGCCTAAGAGGTGTCAAACTTGTTGTCAAATGAGAATGAAAATCTGGCTTTATTCTAGTGATTTCCACAAGGATTAAAAGCTGATTCTTTAAAACCACATTCTCATTATAGAAAATTTCCCATACCCTCAGAGGAACCAAATCCCATAAGAATAGCCATTAAAGCAAGTTACACGGGATATGATTTGAATGATGTGGCGGTGACTAACCACTTGGAACCTGGTAACCTAAAAAATGCTAAATGTGCAACATACATGTGATAAACATTCATATGCATGAAAGTCTGTAGAGACCAAGTCTTAGAAACTGCCAACTCCTCATTTTTTAGCAAAAAATACAGAAACATTGTCCTACCAGTATTTTCACACTGAAAACCAGTATACTTTCAGTTCTCAATATGGTCAGCAAGAGTTGTTTCTGATCTCCATTGGAGTATTTTGTGCTCTCGGATGAATCACGTTATAGGAAAAATCCACTTCAACTTTTTAGTATGAAACTTATGCAGACATTTTGACAGCATGAACATCAATAGTTAAGAAACAACAATTTCGTGCACTTACCCTCCGACATAATTAAGCAATTCCTTCTGCTTAGGTGCAACAGCATCCCGATTCCTATCCTCCACAATTTTTTGAAGCTCATCTAGTCCGGTTTCCAGTTTGTTAAGCAATTCAATTCCATCGTCAACCTTTGACTTTGCCAAACCTCCAACAATCAAGGTTCTACCTTGTTTAAGAGCCCGTGATGCCTGTCTAACATTCTACAGCTCATTGGAAAAGCCAAGATGAAAACCAATCAATACATTGTAAAAACTTTTCGACGCATACATACAAATATCTATGTCCATCATAAATTTGAAGCTGCAAAATTATACTAAAAAGAAGACCGTGTACTGCATGTACATAATGGTTTATATACCTATGATGTGGTGGATATGATTGCGTGAGATTTTTTCAAACAAATAAAAAATAAAAATAAACTTCTCCACTATCTTTTTTGACACCTCATCTCATATGTATGTAAACCATTATGTAACTACATTATGCACAAACTGCACTATTTAAATGAAGAATAGGGGATTACTCTTTCGACAGAATCAAGGGCCTTCACACCAGCAACCTTGAGACTATCAGTAATATCTTCGAGCGGCTTTTGAACCTCCCGAATAGCCTTATTGTCAATCGGCAATGCGTACCTCAACAATGCCCCTGGATCCTTTATTGGTGGCCCGGAAATCAAAACTGAAACGTCGGGCAATGCTGGATCAATTGCATTTGCCATTGCCTCTCCTGCTCCTCCCAATGCTGGTACTCCAGTTATCAAACCAACCGCCAGTGCTATAGATATTGCACAATCCTTTATTGAAGACCTCCAATTTTTCTGTTCAAATCGTAATTTCATCAAATTCCCAGATTTAACTTTTAAGTTACTTACAGTTCTAACCACAGTGTTTACAACAGAAAGCAATTCAATTCCCTAAAACTCAAACGTGGTTGAGTTCCAAAAAGTACTACTCTTTATACATCATAAATACAAAAAGTTAAAAATAAATTTCTTTGTCGATTGAAGAGCTTGCCTGTTCATTTTGAGGCTGGGACGGAGGCGTATTTTGAGAAGTACATTGAGGTTTAAATTGCCGAACGGAAGCATAATTGATGTTTTTCGACTGTAGTTTATGCTTAAGAAGTTTATGGGTAGTTGTAAATTGTAGAGAAGAATAATGATGGCAGGAAATTAAGGCTGCCATTGGCGATAATTTCTTACAGTGTTAACAAAATAGTGGTGACATTACGATCTTGCAAGAAGCCAATGAGGAACAGTACAAATGGGAAGAAAGTAGAAAGGGGGAAAATGTGGATGTGGCAAAAGGGAAGGATTGAGAAGGAGATAAGGTTTTGTGGGGAATTGAAAAATCCAATTCCTAATCCTGAGAGTTAGGTGGAGAATTCAAGTTGATGGATACTTGAAGAAAATCTCGTCCTCAGGATAAGATGAACTTCTGCGGGCTTCCAAATTTTGGTACGGGCTTTAGACTTTCCAATTGGGCCGTCGAGCCACACTCCGTTTACTTTAGAGGGTTAATTATATAAATGATCACCGAATTTTGCCCTATGTTATTACTTAATCACTGAACTTAAAAATATAACTCAATGGTCACTGAACTTCGCCCAAGTTTTACTACTTCATAACCGAACATATAAAATGTATCTCAATAGTCACCGAACTTTGCACCGTGTTGCTCATCCGTCATTCAAATGAAAAAATCTGTTAAGTCCAACAAACGATATCAACTTGAGTGACGGATGGGTAAAGCGGTGCAAAGTTTGGTGACCATTGAGATACATTTTAAAGTTCGATTATGAAGTAGTAACACTTAGCGAAATTCAGTAACCATTGAGTCACGTTTTTAAGTTTGGTGACTAAGTAGTAACATAGAGTAAAGTTCAGTGGCCATTAAGATATATTTTTAAATTGAATTATTAAACCCTTGTTTGAGTCTCATTCTTTCAAAAAAAAAAAAATTACATTCTTAAACAGTAATTTGACATCATTTAACCACACATTTTTCAATAAAATAATATTATACGCAAATTCAAAACTTTTCCTTATTTTTTAACTACACATTTTCCTTCAATATACTATTCAAAAATTCATTTTATCCCTCAAAATGAGGATCAAACAAGAGCTAAACTTCTCAAATAGACCTCTATGAAAGAAGAAATCAAAGAAAATGAAGAGAAAAAAGAGGAAATAGAAAATCAGAGACTTATAAATTAAATAAAAATAGAATTGTTCCTAATATTCATCCATCATGGTGAATAAGTACGTTTGATTTTTAAATCAACTGGTATCAGTTCACCGTACCTCAAACTCCGCATAAATAAATTGAAAGGGAAACAGTTGGAACACTAAAAGAAATTGACAAAGAAAAATTAAATAAAAGCACAAAAATATTCGAATAGTTCCAATGTAACTGAGGTTGATTTGAACTTTGCCCTATGTTACTACTTAGTCACTGAACTTAAAAACGTAACTCAATAGTCCTTGAATTTCGTTAAGTGTTACTACTTCATAATTGAACTTTAAAAGTGTCTCAATGGTCACCGAACTTTGCACCGTGCTACCCACCCATCACTCAAATTCATGTCGTTTATTGGACTTAACGAATTTTTCCATTTAAGTGACGGATGGGTAACATGGTGCAAAATTCGATGACCATTTATATAATTAACCCTTACTTTGGATTATTTATGTTTGCAACTACCATACTATAGGTACTATACTTTAATTTATGCCAATTAAGTTACTATATTGTAATTTAGTATCAATGGTTCCTTATATTTGACTTCGATAGATTTTGTATATTATTTATAAAAATTGGTTGTCAAACAAAGGCTTATTAGAACATTCCTAATAGACTCTCTATTTTTAAAGAGCATCTTCTATCATTTGAAAAATATCTATAAATTTATAGAGTTGAATTTTAATGCACTCCACCAAGCACCGTATATCAACACTTAGGGGGTGTTACATAGATATTTTTACGTAAAAATGCATTTTAGAATAGTAAATTGATGTGAAATGTGTGGTTGAGAAATAAGGAAAATTTTTTTATTTATGTGTAATATTATTTTAATAAAGAATGTATGGATGAAAAGAAGAGAGAGAAAAATGTATTTTAAAAAAAATGGCTACCAAACGGAGCCTTAATTTTAATACTTACAAAAAAATTTATTATTCTTCACTACCTTTTATTTTAACTGATTTTCTCTAAATTATTTTATTATTTTCCTACATTAAAAATTAAAACAATTTGAATGCATTTAACTATAGAAGGTGAGTTTGGCTATTCAAATTTGAAGAGTAAAACCCACTCTTTTAAATTAAATTATTAATTTAAGGAGTCTCTTGGAGTATAATTTTAAGGGTCGACTATTTAAAATAAAGAGTATCTCATGTCTATAAAGTCTTTTGAAAATGCTCTTAATAAATTTCTACTACAAAATGTCAAAATCCCAAATCCAACTTTCACCTCAACGCCAACGAAACAAATTTTAGTTTCTCACATGTAGATGATATTTATAAACTATTTATAATCGATTAAATTATTTTTTATTCACACATTTCGTATATTAAAGTAAACAGACCTTTGTATAGGAAAGAACGATTGTGCCATAAGTACATAATGGTTTATGTACACATGTTGTGATGAAATATAATTGAATCGAAATTTTTCAACCAAATAAATTCTTCACTCTCTTTTGACACATAATTTGTATATAAAATCATTATATAACTCTATTATGCACAAATAGAATTATTAAAGAAATAAATAAGGAGAAGTGGACACCCTAGTTCAACCTAATGATGGTTGACACCTTCCTTTAGCTTCAACATTAATTAGGCCTGGACAAAAAATTGAAAAATCGATCAAACCAAACTGACTTGAGCCGGTTCGACACAAGTAATTGATTTGGTTTGGTTTTCTTTTAAAATTATGGTGGATTGGTTCAGTCATGACTTGAAGTCTCAAACCACTAGTTAATCTAACCAATCCAACTCACTTACATGTTTACCTTTTTTTAATTGAAGAAAAAAAGCACTAATCTCATAACTACATCTCAATTCTCTTCAATTTATGATGTTGTCGATAAGTAATAGTACTGAAAATTTCCTTTCACAAGCTCATTATGTTATACATAACATTTTTTTCTCCACGCAGGCAATTAGACTACATAATATGTAAAAAAAGCAACAAAATTTTTAAGCTTTTTATTGATCCGTCTCTATTAACATGATTTTATTTGATAGCCTATAGTTTTTGTAATATAAAATTATTTGATTATTTTAATTTTTGTAATCTAGGTAGGCTCAAAACTTGGACAATTTATTTACTTATTTTTTTAAAATCAATTTGGACTAAAAGTCCTAACCGAGTAACCAAACCAAACCAGTTTGGTTTAAGAGTTAGAGTGAGTTGATATGGATTGAAATTTGTTAAAAACGACTAATTTGGTTTTGGTTTTGGTTTTAAGTTATAATCAAAATCGACCCAAATCAAACCGCTTCCAAACCTGACATTATTTAGAAAAGTTAGGGAAGATGTCAATTTGTAATCACGACATCAAGAATTAGGGCTACACAAAACTCTCGAACCAAATTGGATTGAATCGTACCTGAACTAAACTAAATCGAATCGAGCGATTCTTCTTAATTTCAATACTCAAATGAGTATCAGAATTGAGAACCGAAATATTTGGTTCGATTATGGATTCTAGACTAAGAACCGAATATCGAATATCCCTAATTTTTTATATTAAACAAGCCAAAGAATTTTAATTTTTTTTTCTTATTTCATTTGCCAACTAATTAATTGGGCTAAAAATATCATTTTCCCATTTCAGTTCAAACTCAACTTTCTAATTCAAATTTCAAAGAATTTAAATTGAGTGACCTAAATTTTTCTCATTTATTCTGCCGTTTCTCTGATAATCGAAGTTGAGCCGTTGCGCCTCTTTTCATCTTTGCCTTTTTCTGCCATATTCCTTGAATTTTCTCCACTTTGATCAAGGTAATTTTTGGTGAATGGATCTTATTAGAAAACTTGTTGTCTATGCATTTTTAAATTGAATTACGTTATTTTATAAATGTTAATACAATATTGTTGTGAGTTAAGATTGAACATGTCATTAATTAAATTAATGTAGTATTGTTGTAAATGCTAAAAAATTAATTAAGAAATCGAATGGAGCCAAATTGAACTGAATCCATAATTAAATTTAGATCCGACAGTTCCAATTACTAAATGTCTAAAAATTTTGATTTGATTTGATTTTATTTTTTTTATAACCAAATCGAATCGAACCATGTGCAATCCTATCAAGAAATCTTGCTCAATACAATCTTAAGACTTGCTCATATCTAATTTTAGTGCTAAAAAAGCCCAAAGCTTCCACACGCGTGCTGACTGAGTGCATCCTATAAGAAATCCACAATCCACCTCTAGCTCCGTCCTTGAATTTTGTGATACGTCTGTCTCTAAAAAGAAATTAAAATAAATAGTGATCGCTTGTACAATTTTATTTAAAACATTACCTATTAATTATTGCACTTTGTACAATTGCTATGCAAGTCAAATTAAAATACCTTTCAAAACTTGATTATGCAAAGAAATCCATTATTCAACGGACAATCCGATATTTAATTAATATTACTATATAGCGAGATTATTCTCATCTCAGATAGCACGTGACAAGCAAGAATAATATTATACGTCCACATTACGTGTGACATAACAGTGATAAGACATGAAATGATGAGATCAAAATTATAATTTATTGTTACATAACATGAGAATAATAACATTCCTATTTAAGCAATTAGTGATAAATTCAGAGTAGGACTCATTTGGACAATTGCACTCGGATTCAGTTTATCCATCTACATATATATACAAGTGTCTTTGTCAACGAACATTCATGCTTGTTTGCTAAATTTCACCTCTGATATGCTTAATTTCTGTCTCGAAAATTTTTGCTTCGAGCAAAGATGACAAACCACGGAGCATGAGCACTTGCTCGCACCATCATTGGCACAATTGGGTTGTCCTAATTATATAAATCCTATACTCACTAATCAATGTCCGTGTGTGTCTACAGGTTAGGACTTTAGAAAAAGTCCAAATCATAAGCTCTGCCAAATGGGTCCTATTTGTTTTGTTTTCTGTCAAAGATGGTTAGAATATGAGTAATCGTTGTATGTTGATTTTCTTGATATCATTGACTCTCTTTTTAAATGTTATTCCTCAATTAATTATTTGCAAAGAATGTAAACTATTACGACTTATTTATCTCTCTAGTGTAACAATCTCTCATGCAATCTAATCTTGTGTATATTTTTTGATTGTTGTAATCTGAAAAATAAATTATTT